CACACTTTAAGTTTTTGTTTTTTGCGCATCTGGTTTATATTGCAGCATCTGGTTTATATTGCATGCCAAATTTATAATAAATAAATAAATACTGTACCAGTATTACTGTACCTGTTTCACTTGCAAAATACCTTAAATATTATTAAATGGTATTATAATCCCATTCAATAGTAATCCTTTTCAAGCAAATATGTGACCGAGATTTAGAAAAAAAATTGTGAGGATTAATTTTGAAATATGTAATGTGCGAAGTTGATAGTAGAGTATGAAAATGTGGCTCAATATATACAGGAACAACTATTTTATGGCTTTGTACAGTCTTAAGTTATTCTATGAAACTGCTTATTTTTTAATGCCTGGATTATGACTATGTCTGCATACTGATCAATTGTATTGGAATTTAAGACAAAGCTTCAATTTTTTGCTATACACCATTTTTTGTTTAGTATTTTAAAATATATAGTTGAACTTTCCTATGTCATATTGAGAAATTGTTTGACCCTAACAAAATTCGACTTGCACTTACGGTAATGGAAAACACAACAATTCAGCATGTAAAATTAGATTGACTTAGAAATTATTAAGAGTATATTATTAGTCGTCCTGTATTATTTACCATAGCCAAGATTTCTTCTTTCATGATGATATTCAACATCCATATTTTTTTATGCTTCACTTAGTTATTGTTGTACATACAGTAAATTCAAGACTACTGGTGTAACTAAATAAATATTTTGCAACACAATTTATCATCCTTGTACATGGCAAATAATTTATTACAAGTGTATTTTCTCACAGTTAATATAAAATTGTTTTACTGTACACACAGAATAAAGCAACATTGAAGCAGTTAGGTATTACAATATATATCACTGCATTTTACACACTCTATTTATTATCAAAATATTAAATATATGGATTTATAGTTACTGTAGTTTATACCAATGTAAAGAATAGGGAAGAACAAGTTACATTTATTGCTACTGTATTAGCTTAAAATTTTAAAATATGAGACGAGAGTGGGGACGATACAAAAAACATTGTACTGTACTTAACAACAAAATGTTCTTGAAATCAACTTTTCTGGCCTATCCGAATAAATAGCAACAATTTCAATTACAGACTAGGTCTGGAAGGTTACACATGATTGACTGGTCCAGATATACAAAAGCTCTAGGCATATGCGGACAAAATTTCCTTTCATGAGTGATGAAATTGTCGAAAAAAACAGAGCACAGTTGTCACATGAATTTTCAAGAATGAATCTATTACATAAGATCTGTTGCATTAATGAGGATGGACTTATCAGGTATCTTCCATAACTATTTATAAATAATTACTTCCAACACAAAGTTTATTTCATCATCTTCTATAGCATCAAAAAACCCAGGCAATCTTCACAGCTTCTGGGAACTTGTCCCTAATCGCCCACACAGTGCAAGATGGGATGACCCTTCTGTCAGATTTCTTTAGCCTGTTAAAATCCTACCACATGAAAGCCATCGATATCCATCATGTCGGCCGTAGCCAGGGGGGTTTTTATGGTTCGGGCGAACCCCCCTTTTCTAGCTAACAAATCAGAGTGACTATTCTTACACCATTCAAAAATAATTAGTATTGATATTACAGTACAATATCTTTATAAGGAAGTAATCATTCTGGCACTAATCATCAATAATAATTTTTGTTGAAAATCTATATACTGTATTTTAATTAACCATCACTGTGAAAAGCCCATATTTAAATGCATTGCAAAGTAGTGTAACATAGCTGCGACCTAATTATTTTGAATAGAATTTATTACTTCATTAATATAATACTTTTTTGTAATATAAAAATTAGTTTAAAAATGAAGACAATAAAAATATCTTGATTCTCAACCTTTTCTAATGTACAGTAATAATAATGCCCCTGTATTTTGACCATCAAAATGGCTAGACATTTGACCCTCTACTAGTTTTTGATCCAGCATGGAACCAGCAGGGAAACGCCTAGTGCAGGTGGTTGTATTTCCGAGCAGAATGCCGAAAATTAGTCTTTGAACTATACTGTATATGACCATTGCCAATGTATCTCTGCACATTTTTCCAAGCCATTTTCCGCGCAAATTTGAGCTAGTTTTCAAGGTATCATCCACATTCCACGACGAATAAACTGGCATTTTAGTAATGCTGTAGTAGTAGTAGATCCGAGATAGTTCCATGGATCTAATAATTAACATGTAAATTAATGTACTTTATTTAAAATAGTGTTGTTTGTTTGCCTCTAATGTTTAAAATATTATTATTATAGTTTGTATGCCTAGGCCTAAACCAGGGGGGCCTAGGCCGCGCCAGGCAGTAGAGTAGTATTCCGTATTCTCTACATACATACAGTACTGCACTAAATGCTAGGCTAAGCCTACACAGGTAAGACAAGTTGGTATTAAACAAACCTATTTAACGCCACTATTAAGATCACCACTTCCAAGACTTCCTTATCCAAACCAGCAAACATATCTTTTTGAAAGAGATTCTTCAAAAACGCCTTCGACTTCGACAAATTTCCGAAATAAAAACTGGGGCAAATCGTTATTTTACACATAATTGAGACA